GGGGGGGGGGGGGGGGGGGGGGGGGGGGGGGGGGGGGGGGGGGGGGGGGGGGGGGGGGGGGGGGGCTGGCAGCGGTCTGCCTGTATATCTGATTTCTGATTTAATTGTATGCTGTGTGCGAAGCGAGCGGCGGGGCCAGAATCGTCTTTAGTTTGTTTTTGGGGGTGAGCGCGTCCAGTCTGTCTACTACTGCTGTTATCATGCCGCTTCAGCATGATAGGNGGGGGGGGGGGGGGGGGGGGGGGGGGGGGGGGGGGGGGGGGGGGGGGGGGGGGGGGGGGGGGGGGGTGCTTGCACACATGGAGGGATGGAGACTTATCCTGTGCTGCTGTGTTGGTTGTGTCGATTTTGTTGGACCGGTTTTTCTTAGGTGCTTTCTGGTGGTGAGCGGCGGCACGTGTTTGCCAGCGGTTCACAGAAGGAGGCATCACGACTCGTTTACAACACTTTACTTTTACGGTGACGACAATACCATACGAAGGATTTGTCGATTAACCGCCGCCGTCAGCGGGTGGGTGCCTTGACGACTTGCTGTTTAGCAAAACGTTGGTTAATGGGGGAATCGACACCAATCACGTCTGTCTGCTATTGCATTTGTTTACTAGTAAGTTCCCTCGCTCATAAGAGGGGTGGTGATAACCCGCCGACGTTAGTGGATGGCTTTACTACGTTCGCACGTCAACAACAGTCTGTCTCCTTCTTGTCGTCTTTGGAGCTGGGCGATTCAATTCAGGTTTTATTTTTTCGAGTCGGTATAAATACAATTCGTAGAAAATTAGCGCTGTTGTCGTCGTCGTCGTCTATGCCGTGTGTACTTGTCGTTTTTCTCCAAAAACAGTAGTAGCGGGGTTTCGTTGCTTATAGACTCATGGCCCAATCAATCGTGGCTCTTCACACTCGGCTGGTCTATTGTAGTTCAATGCTCTCCGTTGTGTAGTTGTCTCTATTTCGTGTTTGCAGGTCTTGGGCACAACCCGCCGTCATTCTATACCTATGCATGTGTGGAACCCCCCCTTTCCTTCCCCGGCCCCGGATGTTTGCCTTGCTTGGAAGAAGTCGCGGGATAGTATTGGGGCGGGCGAAGGAGACGGGGGCGGAGGGCGAGGCTGATTGTTTGTCGACGATCCACTTCTTTCTTTTAGGAGTCTGTTGAGAGGTAGGTAGGCACGTCGTGTCGAAGCTCTGTATTGTGTCGATGAGACGAGAACAAAAGCTGACGCCGCTTCTTGGTGCACGTCCTTCAATAGGTAAGAAGCGAAGCGATAGTACATGTATGTACGAACCTGCCTACTCCCTCGGGTTCAGCCAGTCCTTCACTTTTGAGTAGTAGCACCGTGGTTGCCCCGTGGATGAGCTGCGTCCCCCCAACCCCCCCCCCCCCCCCCTCTCTGTGGACCAGTGAGAAACCACCCATGAACTTATCGCCACCCCCCCTCAAGAACGGTCCAACCCAACGCGATCCCGAGTAAGTAGTTAAGATGTTTGGGTTCCCAAGAAGAATGATTTGATGGAGGAGTCAATGGGACCCACCCACCCACCCGCCCGCCCACCCGGAGGAAGAGATTGTGTAAAGAGGGGAATGGAGAGTGTTGGTGAGTGTGAATCTTGGTGGCGGGGGGGGGGGCAAGTTTTTTTCTTGCGATATCAACGTTGTTGTTGTTGGGTCCCGCTGACTTGCTCCTCTCACAACGAACGAACGGTTCCGCCGCAGTTTCATGAGTAAATATTCTTCGGACCGGGTGGGGGGCCTCTGTATGTGTGCAGTGGGGTGGAATGTCCAGTGTGTAGACTAGTAAGGTTAAGAACCTTTTCTGTATTACCGCTCGGAAACAAGGTGAACTCTCATTTCCGTGTCTACGTTTCTATCTGCAGTAGTTCTGGTTGAGGCGGACTATCTTCGCATTTTGAAGGTAGGCTTACAGTGTGGCACACACGACACTTGATATACTTTATTTTGATTTTGTTGACAAAACTCGAACAGGCTTGGTGCGAGGTACATGTAGGGAGGAGTGAGTGCAAGGGTTAAGCGTATGCGGGAAAAGAAAGCCGCTCGATGTGGAATGTTCTGGTAAGCAAGGCTATCAGTCGTCGTTGCACTCAACGGAATTGGGTGGGTGATGACGGGGAAACTCACCATCCAGTAGACTAGTAGAAGAGGAAGTTGCGTACCATATGCTTGTGGGTGGGCGGGTGTCGTGGCTAGAGGCGCGACATGCTAATTGGTGCGTGTGTTGTTGTCGTCGTCGGGTCCATACTATAAATACTCTAGTGCTGCCCGCTTCATAAAATACCCTGCCTCGAGGCGACGGGATGCATGTTGCGTGTCTTTCTCCGGTTTGGTTGAAAGCAAACAAGAGGCAGGCGGGAAAAATAGATGCGTAAGCCATCTGAGGGTGGGTGCGTCGTCTCTCCTTCTGCACTATGCTTGTGGTAGTGTACTGTAGTCGGTTGATGATGAGGATAAGGATACTACTTCAAAACACAGGGAGGGGTTGGTCTGCCTGCTGCTGGCAAGAGGCGTATTGTAGTAGTAGCATTTGGGGGGCGAGACGTTGCAGTTAGAGGATGATGAGAGAGAGTGAATGCCCAACGTATTCACGGTATTATAATTAAAGGGGGAATGGGATGACGGACTCGGAGGGGGGAAATGTTGCAATGCGGGATGATGAGTGCATGCCCTGCTTTGTTCATTGGTAGTTCAAGGAGGACCAAGACTATGACGGGCTCGCTCCTGGGGGGGGGCGAGTCTGAGGAGCAAAAAAAGAAACAGGAGCCGAGAAGGAGCTTAGAGGAATGAGCGAGACAAGTTGAGTATGAATCACCAATCTCCCATGTGAAGGACAGGAGGGAGCAAGAGTTTTTCGCGTGTGTGTGCGTATTGGTTGGTCTTGAAGATGGATGGTGCTACATGGTGATAAACAAGCGGAGAGGTAGATTGATCCATTCGCATTGCATTCTTTCCCCTGACACTTGTCTGTGTTCTGCATAGCACTTGTTACCCTTTTCGTGCGCTGTGTACGGGTGGAAGGCAGGGTAACCAACGCGTTGTACAAGTGGTCCACAACCAAACCGCCGGCGATCGATGTAGCATGCACACGTCCACCAAATATAGCAACCATGTGCACCGCAGAGCATTAGATGATCCCTACCGCAGTGAACAAGCCGTTTCTTATGGTGGGAGGTGGCGACGATGAGAAGAACCGCTGCCGCTGTGACAAACAGGCTCAAGTTAACGTGCATCCTACAACAATAGCTGGGGGGACATTCCCGTGTTGAACAACAGCAACAAGCATCTCGAGTATTTATTTATTCACCAGTTTTCTTCGTTTCAGTTCGTCTACTGCGAAAACATTTCCTGCACAACAAGCAGGCGAAGGCGACTCCAAACATAGCAAAAAGTCCCCAAGCACGATAGAACATGTTGCAGGCTCGCAGACATGCCAAAATGGAGAAGATACCGCTACTAGCAACCAGGTGCAAAGGGCGCGGTCTCCAACATGTTAGCCCAACCCCGCAGCTCTAAGTAGAACCAGAGCCATCCTCCCACGTTCGAGCACAGGGTGGCTCAATCAACCGCTGGGTTTCACTCTGACCCGCCAAAAAGCATGATGAGGACATAGCGAAATTTCACAAGACACAAGTTAGACAAGTTAGACAAGTTCCCCAACCACAAGAGTTGGTGCTCCCCCGCCACCCCTCCACCTTGTTAACCCTTCGTGCGAGCCCCTCCAGCCCTGTCAGAAACATTGCCGCGAACACACGCTGTAACGGACTAGACTAGATTAAATAATGAGAGGACGACCACCTCCTTACGCAAAACACGATGACAGGATGAACAGTGCCACCAAAACTTTGCCCAACAACGTTCAAGCTAAAAAAACAAAAAGCCGATGAAAAATGGGACCATCGCTTTTCCTCTCTTGGGAACAAGCGGTGGAAAAAATGCTTTGCTTTTGGAGCGAAGGAAGAGAAAAATCAAGCAGCACGCCCCCCCGAATCAATTTGTACCAAAAAGAAACGCCGAGAAAGAAAATGCTCATGGCACTCATAGCACGTGTAGCACAACAACTACAAGAAAATATATTTTCCAAGACCGCCACCTTCCTCGCCTGCTCCTCATTCTAGCAATACTGTGTTTTGCTGTCTCTGACTTGGCCACCAACGCCAATCAGCCACGCTCCAAATATCAACCACGGCGGCAATCTCGGAAATAGAGATGGGGAGGGCTTAAGATGAGAGAACGCCACCTCGATCAGCCAAAATGAAGTCGAGAGCGCACCCGCCCAGACACGGGCTATGGAGGGGTGGCCGCAGCAGCCGCACCCCGGCGTTTCATCCTGAACCCCACCGGGTGTATTTAGCCCGTAAATCGTTTTGTGGCGGGGGGCGGGGGCGGATGGGTGAGTCGGTCAGTGACGAGGGATGAAAAAAAATAAATGGCTATATTTGAGCAGGTTCTTGCCCGGACGCTCGTTGGCTCAGATTGTGGATGCACGTTGATAACCCGTCGCGGCTCTATTTGTCTTGAGACTACCCCGCTTACCACCCACCGCTAAGTCAAGCCGCTCAGAAAAACACCTCTATCCATCCTCTAAACATGTGAGGCGCGTTTTCACGCCATCTATTTCGGAGCCAGTCTACTACACACCTCTCTCGGTGTAGACTACATATACCTACTGTATGTGTTTGACGTATGCACATCAGCCGGGGTCACAAAGGAGAAAGGTCACAAACTCATACACGTTGCCTAGAGTTTCTATCGCGAGAAGGGTTCCGCCGTCCCGTTCCCTCGTCTACGGTGAATTTCAAGTGTGTGGATACTCACGAATTTACCATTGGTCGTTTTCAACGCTAAAATGCCAAGTTTTTTCTCTCCAGAGAATGACTCACAACTGTTACGATTATAGGCATAGCATATAGGTTTACGAGGACAACATGTCTAGACCGCCGGGGTCGCCGCGAGAGGCGTTAATCTGAGGGGTGGGTGGAAAGCGGGGTAGTTTGTGAGAAAAAAAAAAAACGCTACCAACTCCAACTCCCGAAAACCTGAGCTACCAAACATCTGGGCCAAAAACAAAAGTAGCACCGAAATCCTCCACTACCTTGAGACCGAAAAGAAAAAAAAATGGCGATTTTCTCAGCAACACGGTGGAATTGTCGGTCCTCTTCTTGGTATAATATACCGGAATACAATAGTCCAGCACTACAGGGAGACAGTCTCTACGTATGCTGCTGATGCTTTCGTGACCTGCCTGAGGTACGATTCGGCCAAAGACAGTCAGACAAGGTCATCAACGCCGTTACGAGTTGATCGGGCCATCATCTACACCGGCAGCAACCAGGTAGTACAGCATCCGTCCGCACTCACTCATGACACGGCGAGCAGCACGTAAGCAAGCAGCACGTAACGAGGAAGGAAACACGACGCACCGTCGGATGTATGCCTCTAGGCTTGCGGGCTTGAGCTCGACGCACCCCTCGTTGCGCTGCTGGAATTCCGGCCTCAGGCCCAAGTCCTCCAGCAGCTCCACCACTGCGGGCTGAACACGACAGCATGGAAAAAAAACAGGAGTCGAACAAAGGATATGACACACAAAGTGAAACCACACAACAAACAGGAGGGCAGACAAACACGTAATACAAGAAGGATCATCTGACATGCCACTCACGCGACGGACTCGTTCTACCACGGATACCATGATGACGGCCCCCAAAATGCTACTACCACCATCACCAATGGGGGCACCACCGGCGGTTCATGGTCGCTATTCGCATCGACAACATCACAACCAACATCGACGCCGCCGACGCCGACTTCAGCAGCAGGGACAACAAGAAACACAGCAGCTGCAGCATCATCAACAACGACAGCGGCAACAACGACGACAACGAAGACAACAGCAGCGAAACAAGGCATCAGCAAAACATGCCTTCCCCCTTTGCGCCAACATCACACCATCGGACACCCATCAGCACCGGCTCTTGCAGGTGATCACCTTGATTACAGCCTCCCGGTCCTTGCTGTTGTTCCCCTTGCCGGTGACTATCCGCCATCGCTTGTCTCCACTCCAGTAAGGCCGTCGCAAAGGCCTTCGAATAACATCCAATAACGCCACTTGCACAGTCTCCCTGTGATTGCGGGTGAGCGAACCGGCGGTTGTTGTTCTGATCTTGACGCTGGCGGTGGAAGTGCTAGATGGTGAAGGTTGAGTTGCTGCTGCTGCTGCTGCTGCTGCTGATTTTAGACCCACGCAAGGTATGCGAAGCTGTGCAGTTTGTAGGGGGGGTCCACTAGTTTGATTGCATCGCCGCCCTGTACTAGTCGCTCTCAAACCCAAGCAGACATATCGCGATTCATCGCAGCCCCACCAGGCAGTAGCATCGGGGCGAGACGGAGGCGTGGCTTGCTTCCAATCCACGGGTAGGGGGGGGGGACGCGAAACCCCCCTCCGCCCCCGCCCCCCGTCTTAACCATGGCAATAGCTCTATGAACACGCACTAGAGTGGGATACAAAGTGGGAACGTGCCCGTTTGATGTGCTACATGGCCGGGGGGCCTTGCGAGAAAGCGCGTTCGTGATTTAGAATCCGCCAAAACGACTGACATAAACATCCTATTGGTCAGCTGGTGAGCGCGGTCGACGTTAACAAACAACGTAAAACACAAACACACACACACACACACGCACACCACACGCCGCCTCTTGAAATAAACACACGCACGCTTTCGAAGATGTTCCAGCCGCACTGAGGCTCACGTCTTTCCATTGGTCTGCCGGTTGGTGCGGTCGATGATAATTCAAAAAAAGAACAGAAAAAAAGCGCACACAAACGCCGCCTGCTCTTGAACAAGAATCTGCGTACCCCTGTCGAATCTTGTCGTGCGCCAACCGAGACACCACAGCGTGCCATGCCATGCCATCAACAACATAATATCATATCACGGTAACGATCTCCGGAGGGGTTGATGTAAATGAACCCTCGCAACCCTTTCCATCAACCATGTGTGCGACCCCCCCCAAACAAACCGAGATTGCCGAAACAAGTCCAGGCAACACACCGTAGCAGGAAAGAAGACACTTACAGCGCGATGCTTTGGGTGAGTTCGTGCAGCTCAAGTATCGCTCCGCCTGTGCGCCCGACCTTTAGGGGCCACTTCGGCCACTCCACGTCCCCGTCCCCGTTCCCCTCGGTCTCGAGTAACGCCCGGTCTGCATCTACAACTCCCAGCTCGTACAGCATGGTGCTCACTTCCTTGTACCCTTGCTCCGCCACGGTCTGGTTGTTGTCGGAGGGAGGGGGGTACAGATGAACGTGTTTCAACGTAACAAGAGCTGTCCCAGAAGATTCGGGCGAGAGAGTGAGTTACACCAAGCAAGATGACCCAGTGCGACAAACATAGTCGTCGAGTGAAAGGGGCGGAGGGTAAGTTGACATAGGCGAGGGGAATGAACATACTAGCTGGAACCGTGGCCATATTCGATGCCTCCTCTCTTACCCCGCCCAGGTTTATGTACTGAGCCGGACGTTGCCGTAGGGCACAGACGTGCTTGAATATGTACCCAGGCCTAGGACCTTTTTCCCGACTAACATTATGTTGTCTAGCAAAAAATTGTAGTTGCTCTCAAGACTCATGACGGGAATCGAACAGTGCCGACGTTCACTTGAGGTTGTTCTACTGGTGTAGGCCGTCTCGTGCATGACAAACATACAGCACCTCATTGGAAAAATATATACTTTCATATTGAGTCACAGAAAAATGCGTCCAGGTGCTTAGGGCGTAGCGGCAAAAAAGTTGTTTCGATGTCTAGTTTTCCACTAAGATGCCGTTGTGACGTCCATGTAGCACCCGCCGGGTGTCTCTTCTTTCAGCAAGACAACATGCACGCGTGGTGACAGCCATGACCGTCACAGCAGCAACGACGGTCCATGGCTCTTCTCGCGCACAACGTTGAATACGTCTTGACCACGGCATGGCTCTTTTCAAGCCATGCGTGCATCGACAAATACCCGTCCGAATGACACACGTTCACGGCCAGTCGGACAATCCGTACCGTGATGATAAGGTCGAAGGAGAAGAGGTTAAGCTTGGTCTTGGATCGCCGGGAGTGCTCAAGCAGCAGGATTGCCGCCTCCCAGCTCCCTTCGTCTTTGCAGAGCTGCAGCAGAGCCCTGAGGAGCACGTTGGTTGCTGGTGTTGTTTGATTGGCGTTGTTTTCATTGTTGTTGCTGTTGTTGGTTGATTGGTGCTGCCTTCATTGTGGGTGCCTGTTGCCCCATCCCGCACAGCGTCGGTCCGGTTCCACGCTCTCGTGGCCCCAACAACCTTCACCGAGGCACAAGCACTCGCAAAAAGTGGTAGTTCCAAGGACAGTCTGAGCGCATAAGAACTACTCTAAGGTCTTCCCATGACTGAGGTCTCGTTACTGGGGCTCGGCGCCACCGCTTGCCGACGTGCCCACGGTGACCTCGCATGCTACAAGGCAACGCGGCTAGACGAGTCTCCCGAGTCTCTCCGGCCTCCTTCTGGCTCGGTATCATATTCCACACAAGATCATACCCCCCCCCTCCCACAACACGCCCCCCCCGGTGTTTGCCATCGGGGCTGGGTTTTCGTCGCTTGGCGACGACGTTGTACAACAAGCCCCCCCCCCCC